CTAGTAGAAAGTATCAGCGCCGCATAAGGCGAGTGAACTCGGCAGTTTCGTATTTCATCATTGCTCATTACGTCAGATGTGATTGTGTGTTTTCATAAATAAACCGTATTAAGGAAAACGGATGAGCAGCAGCAAGCACGAGGGAAGCAACGGCAGCACATTTGAAGATGTGGATGCGAGGTCTTACATGAACCGAGGATTTTGACCATTTGATTAGACATGTCTAGCTGCAGACGGAAACTGAAGGTGGAAAGACGACAAGGAAGCAAAGGAAAAACTCTGGATGTGTCGTCCCCACGGTCTCTTCAGGCGGACAGAGGAGAAGAAGGGTTTGCAAGATGGAAGAATGCCTCAACACAACAGCTGGTGTCTGTGTTGCTGCGCTGGCATCTTCACTATTGCTGTCCTTTCTGCCGCTTCCCTCGCACTGAAAATGGCAATCCGGCCGAAAATTCTTGGTCTTTTCCTCTCAAACACAGTGAATCGTGACAACACAGAACCGTCCCTACCGGTGGTTAGAGCGTTAGGGAAGCTGTCATCCGATCCACCCACTCGTGGTGGGGCAGGTTCGAATCGCTTCAGGCGCTCACTATCTGCTCCTAACAGACATGGCCTGTGCCGGTTGCGGCGGCGGCCGCTGATGGCCAGGGTAACGTCAGAGGGCAGGACGGACTGTGCCGACCACTGCGTCAATGCATTAAAGGGAATGCTAGACATTTGTATGGGTGTTTTGAACTCAAATAATCATCTTGAAGATCATCCGGTGCAGCTCACAGCCCTGCCCTTCTTAATACCTAACACACCTCTAGGTTCTAAGGTCCACATCCGCGAAGATGGCAGACTTTTCGGGGTGAATGTTTGAAGGTCACTCAGGTATTCATGACGTCAAAACAACGCTATTAAAATCCCGCCATTCCATTACCCACGCGACGATTAATGACAAAAAAAAGTTGTCGAGTCGTTCATATCTGGCATTTGGAAGCAGTATTTCCAGACATCACGGCCGTCAAATGGCTTTCAATCAGTTGTTGTGCAGGGCGTGATTACGCAATCGAACATAACATACTGAAAAGCAGATTTACTAACAGAGAAATTGTGTCGTCTGAAGTCTTTTTCCACTACCAATGATTCGTACAAATACTTCGTTCCAACCAATGCAATACAATGGTTTGTACGGTTCGTACCAATAGGGCCAAAGTGTACTTGAGCACAAGTAGTACCAAAATGACCTTATTTCATCAGATTTGAGGCTTGCTTCAAATCGTCAAATGTAGAACATTCCCTTTAACTTTCGCCACCAAATTCTGCCGCTGGGCCTGGAATTGGGCGATCGGATAGTAGAGGTCCCGCGCTTACATAACAGCCACAGCTTGGTGTGGGATCTAAACACGTCTGTACACAAGACTTCTTCAGAATACTGAGCAAAATTCGCGAAAATGTTCTCATCTGCTTAAGGTCATTGATGCGACTCTTGGATATTTTATGACGCTTTAGACTGCCATAAGGGAAAAGATGAGCAGTATCAAACCTTATTAATGTTTTCTTTTCGGTGCGTAAAACGACCCCTTTTTGGATGTCTTAACTAGCTTCTCGCTGGCATTATTAGACTAATTTATTTGCTGCCAAACTTGGCGCGCACGAAAGATAGGACAAAGAGGAGCAAAACCCATGTTTTTCATCAGTTGGCTCTTCATGGCTGTAAAGGATTTCTCCATAGAAGTTTTCGTCTCATTAGCATGCAACCTATTTGTCACTGCACGTTTGCAGCTCTTTGCGGATTCGGCCAGGGACCAAACGCGCGTCACATCACTATTGGGTTCATAATAATGAAACAAGCCCGGTTCCTGTGTAAACTTTATTGCCTGCTTTGATAGATCCGACGACAAACGATGCGGTTTGATACTCCTCATTTTGCTACTTCCTCACCCTCATTTCCGCCCTCATTTCATCTAACTCTGAGCTTAGCCTAAGTGATTTAATTGGCCGACTAACTGTTGCTTCCCATAGGAATGCTGATATTGACTAACTCGCAAAGGAGTGCACGTGATATGCAAAGGCCAATGCTTCAAGTTGCAGGGGCGGAGCCTGGTGTGCACATATCGCGGACTACGTACTCGCTCCGCCCGCCCAGGAGGCCTACGATATTGTAGGCGGATGGACTTATGACCTCTGATCTGTTATGAGCCAGAACCACGGGAATATATCTTGCAAAGCATGAGCCATACTTTGTTTTGACTACAACTATTCATTGGCAAAAGTTTGAGAATTCGATCTGATTCATCCGACCAATTGCAAACGCAGGTCCAATGACCAACTCGGCTTTTTAATCAATTTCAAGGCTGTTGCGATCAAATCTATTACATCGTATCCACTACGTTACAAAGCACCTTGTCACAAAAAGTCACATGCATCACGGTTTGGGTACGGCAGCTTCAAGGTTGGCGCTCACATCTTTACTAATTGTTTGGATCCACTACACTTATCCATTTCTCATGGTCACCAACACTAACCCGTGCATTTTGAGCCAAGTTTGAATCCTTCTAGCCAAACCGATAGATTTACTACATATCTAAAGAGCGTTAGATCGCCCACCGGCGGCGTCCAGGCCCCAGAAGTCGGCCGGCTGGTGGCCGAACGCTGGGGCGTCGCCATGTGGTGATATTGCCCAAGAGCTTGCAGACACTGGGGCGTCACCAGGTGGTGGTCACAGGCGGTGATGTTTTCCCAGAGAGCGCAGCCGCTGGGGCGTCACCAAGTGGTAATCTTGTCCCAGAGATCGCGCACGCTGAGCGGCCGAGCCGCCAGCCGTCGCTCCGGATGCAGGGCCGCCTCCAGCGCCCGCGTCGAACACGGCCGCCAACGCCGGCGCCCGTCACCGTGCTGCACTCGCGGTAGTCGGCGGCGCCGAGCCGGGCGGCGACGCGCCGGCCCCGCTCCGTCGGCACGGCCTCGCCGCGGGCCGGCGGCGCTCGCCTGGATGGCGTCGCGCGCCTCGGCCTTGGGTGCCGACCAGCAGGAACGGCGCGCGCGAAGCGTACTGCTCCAGCTCGACGCGCCAGTCGGCCTCGAGACGCGGCCAGGCGGGCCGGCTCAGTTAGGTCAGCACACAGCACCACTACTACGCCGGCGTCCCGGTAGGCAGAGTAGGGCGGTGAGGCGCGAGCGCAGCTCTGCGCCGTGCCACCGGCCGTGTCCACCAGCTGCAGGTCATACGCTGTGTTCATGTGGTACAGCGTCACGTGCACCATCTGGGGCAGGCTGCAGAGGCTCCTCTGGCGGCAGCGATGGTCGCCGACCGTCGGGCGAACGTGTGGAGTAGCGACGTCTTTCCGGCCCGGTCGTCGCCCACCAGGACACATTTGATGGTGGCATCACCTGACATGCTCGACGGCTCGATTCCAGTGAGGCAAGGTTGAACTTTGTGAACGGTGGAACGCCGTGAGCGTGGGAAGTGGGTTCTTCCTTCCCTCCAAGAGCCGAGATCCAAGCTTTCAAGTCACGAGAAGTCCTTCCAGCCCAAGAACTCACCACTCACTTTCGACTCACCAGAAAGACCCACACCACCTGTCGCCCCTCGGCGGCCGCTCTCCTCGGTGAACGGACCGGTTCCTGGTTTACGCGTCGCTGCAGTGGGCGTCTCCGGCTACTCGGACGCCCGCGTCGGCGGGAGTCGGCGGACTGCGGCGCCGTCCGGGACGTCGCGGTCCAACGCGTCTGGTTGCGGGAAGTCGGGCGATAAGCCGGGCAGTTCGCTGGCTGCTGATGACGTCAGCAGACCGTCGGCACGACCGCCGGCCCGACTACGGCGGCTGCTGGCCGCGGCGGAGCCAGCGCCGTGTCGAAGGGTGATGAGTGCACACCCATCACCCCCATCCTCCCAAATCAGAACAATTAAAACGACTCTTCTGAACCGAATGCCTCTACTTCTTTTCGTCGTTTTATTTCGAGGCTTTCTAAAGTAAGGGACTGTTGACCAGAACACCGGGTCTCCAAGGTTTTGCCTCATCGCCCCCTGACTACTTCACTGCCTGCAACGGTGCAAGGCAGCCAGATTCCAGAAGCCGGCTGATATGTGGCTCCGGAAGCGGGTGTGCTTATTGAGGCGTAATGAACACCCAACATCTTCTGCAGGACCTTTCCACGCCATTTCCAACTTAGTCTTCTTGGCGGCATGACAAAAAACCTGGTGCACCCTGTGCAGCTGACACGCAATGTTCCTTCAACGAGCAGAGATAAAATATATTGAGGATGCCTTATTCATTTGGTGTTATTCCCGCACAAATTATTTTGTCCAACTGTGTTCCATACGTGATTTTCTATTTCACAAAGAGCGCACTGTTCTCACAATTTAATGCGATCGAACACCAACATACGACATTCTGGCACGCGTAACACATCACTTACGTCGGGACAGGGCTTCATTGAATTTATTGGGGGTCACAGGGACGGAGACCACATTTTCCAGAATACTCTGGTGGTTGTTTCAGTTTTTCATGCCTTTGACGGCTTGTTGGGAGACTTTGGGTTCACATATGGGGACGCAAGACACATATGAGAGGGTGGAGCAGTGTCATTCCGAAGATCTAGACCTTTGGACGTAACTTGGACTAACCACCAAGGATATCACAGTACTTTTAACCGGTAATTTCACTCCGTTGGATGTCAGCCGCGGCCATATGCCTAGCGGCCACAGTGGCGTCGTGTGGTGGTCATGAGTAAAAGCGGCGTTATGCCATATTGTAGTGAATTAGCACGATCGGGCACAGTTTGCGGATTTACCCTATGCCAAATATTACTCCTTGGCTTCACGTGTTTTCCACTACGCAATGTTATGCGGTAATAAAATTTAGTTTATCATTTAGTGTATCATAACAAAGGATGGACATCAGCTTAGCTGCACAACATAAACATCGAATCACATAAAATCACAGCATATTGGGAAAATACCGTTTACCATCGGACGGGACTAATCACGCGAAGTCGACTCATGCATAAAAACCGGTGTTCACGCAACTTTTGGTTCGGAAAATTGCAGCTGGAAACAATACAGCTGCACTTTGCATGTACAACACCGGTAATTGCATTATGGAGGTATAAAAATTGCGCTAGAAGTTATGAATGTTGGCTACTTTTTATATGTTTGCGGCGTTACTTTTCTCTAAAATATTCTGCTGTACCTACGCTTGTGCCCATATGTCTCTAAGAGCTGCAAACTTAACTCCAGCACCAGGTGTAAATTGGAAAGCTGGCGACCCTTTCGCACAAGAAAATCCCCACTTTCACAGCGCGAGCTTCTTTACTTCCCGGGCACCTCTCGAAACAGGCGAATTGCATGACATCTGCTCCTCAAGTGTATCGAAATAGAGTTCGTGAAAAAAACATCAGGAACTCGCATGTTCGCTCTATAGCATGGAGGCATATCACCTAATGGATGAGCTGCAATCACCACAATGATCGAAGTTCCGGCCAACGGTAATCGTATGGTCAGTTCGTTGGATGGATTGGAGGTAAATTTGGAGTTTGAGCAAGGCGGTAGCAGGGATGACTATTTGGAACTTTTTCGCTCTTCTTACTTGGTGTGGATGAAGATCATGGAAAAGGTAATTTTTGAACAAAACAAACACACACACACGCACCCACACATTATGAATGTGCGTGCGGGCGTGCGTGCGGGCGTGCGTGCGTGCGTGCTGCGTGCGTGTGTTTATCGACCCATATTAGTGGATAGACGGTAAACACATCGTGAGAAGGGGGGAGATCCCACAGAGATGCAAAGCTCCATCCATCCAGCGAACGTCACTTTCGTTTGCGTTTGTCTCTCCCTGCACTGGTGGCCGGGCGGCGGGTACACTCGCTGGCCGTCACGGCTCAGTGGGGCCGCAGTCAGTGGCGCTGCAGCTCGGGCCGGCCCAGGTCAGCGGCCGTCGGGGATCAGTCGGACCAGGTCAGCGGCGGTCGCGGCTCAGTCGCACCAGGTCAGCGCAGTCGGGGATCAGTCGCACCAGGTCAGCGGCGGTCGCGGCTTAGTCCGCACCAGGTCAGCGGCTGCCGCGGCTGAATTTGACCAGGTCAGCGGCGGCCGCGCCTCAGTCGCACCAGGTCAGCGGCTGCCGCGGCTCAATTTGACCAGGTCAGCGGCGGCCGTAGCTCGGGCAGCTGGGTGATAAAGCGGGCGTGGCTGCCGTGGGCCGAGTCCGGCTGCGACGCCAGCTGACCGGCGAACAGCGTCAGGCCAGAGACGCGCTCCACATCCCGCAGCGTCGCCTCGTGGAAGTTCACGTACTTGCCCGCCGCCTGCCGGCAGACCGACGACCAGTGGCGGACACGCCCCACAAGCGAGGCGCACGACAACTTTCGGAGCTGGTGGTGTCCACGACCAAGGTCGGTACTACACCCAAAATGCCCTATCGCACAGCCGATAATTTCTTAAAAGGTTATTATGTATAATTATTGTTTATAATTTCTTAACATATGAGATAATTTCTGAATAAAAGGGAAGTAAACATAGCGTGCCGCCGGCGGTATTCCCACCAGGTTGCAATGATAACCCCGTCCTAGCCGGTGGTAGTAATGCAAGAAATTGTAAAAACAAACTACAATCAGAAGGCTTATAACGAGTAGCTTTTGAAGCGTGACGACAAAATGGACAACCCGGTTTCAAGAGACGGCATGCAGCTTTGTTTCTGTTCAGTATTGCTCTGTTCTACAAAACGAAATCGCTTTCACTTTTCTGGCTATGGCTTGCTTCACAAATATGAGCTTACCCTCCGTACGCAAAAATATCAATGTCCCTTCTCATCACCAACCCCGTGATAAATTTCGTTGACTAATGTCAACAAGTTTCGGCCTGCACAGTACTTCTGCAACTCAACAAATTAATCAAACAAACTAACGCAAATAATAGAAAGAAAGCAGCATCACCTTTAGAGACAACAAACCAGAAAAAAATTAACTGGACCCTGTAGCCTCCGATGTTGGAGCCGTGGTCAAAGCCGAGGCTGTCTGTATGACCTGGCGGGTTCTCGGTTCACCGATTGCCGACCGGCGGCGGTCAGTCCGGGCTGCCGAGCCTGTCTGTATGACCTGGCGGGTTCTCGGTTCACCAAGTGCCGACCGGCGACGGTCAGTCCGGGCTGGCGTTTGCCACATGACATCACATCCCAGCGCCCACCTCGCACGGCCGGAAGCGCTCCTTGTGCGGCAGGATCCACTGCTTGTGGACAATCTCTTCCGGGCGGCAGCCGCGGCCCCCGCACATCCGCAGCTGGTAGAAGAAGTGGGATGGAATCGGCTGCCCGAATCTGCAGCATGGTGGGCGTATCAGGTGGGCATCACGTGCGGAGTTGTACAGACGAGGACCTGAGTGACGGTGTGAGGACCGTTCTGAACAAAGCCGACACTGGTATCGTGGCGGCTACGGCGAAACACTTCATACAGCGCCCATAAAGTGTTGAGACTCCAGCATTCATGCATCAAGAGTCCAAGAAGAGCATCAGAGACATCAAAAACATCAAGAATCCCAGAGCAGCATCGAAGGCTCCGATGCATACGGGCGGTTCTTCACGCAAAAAGTCACGTAAACGCCTCATGAACCAGCCCGCTCGCATTCCATTGCGACTGCACGCGTCGGATTCATTGCTTTAAGCGCTAAGCATGTGGTAAGAGAGTGCACTAAAGGAACACATCACCGCCTTTTTACACACAACACACCACCATAGGCGGAGGAACATCTCAGACCACGGAGGTCCGAATACCAATCTTGAACCGCCCCTTTCAATACGTCGCCGTATTGTCAATAGCCGGGAAGTGGGGTGCTCTGGCCCTCACGCTTACCTTTCCCCGTCCCTACGCCTCTGTACATGGTGGTTTACGATGCGGGCAAATAGCTCGATGTTAGGCGGGAGGCTATCATTTACGGGATACTGCAGATACCTACAGATACAGGATAGGTCATCGGGTAGATCATTACCTACTTCTTATCACAATCAAATTGAACACGATGTTGCTGACCGCAGAACGGCAGTCCCAGTAAGTACTCATTGAATGTTATCACATTCAGCGATTCTCATGGCTCCTGGATAGCTTCGCCCTTTCACCACAGACGTGCAAGGATTTCCAAATAGGAGCCAGGGGAAAAGCTTGCCTAGTTTGATGGATAACACAGCATGGAACCCAAAATCGGTGTACTGTGTAAGCTGCTCAGCCACCCAGCGGCCGCTCCAGCCGCGGTCAGCGGGCTTCGACGCAGTGGGGCGGACCCTCACCTGTCGAGAGCCTCCGAGCGGTACACGGGCCCGGCCAGCACGGCCACCAGTCCGTACCGCCGCGAGTACGTCTCCAGCCGGCGCAGCAGCTCGGGAAGCACACGCTCTTGGTACGCTGGGTACATGGGGTACATGCTGGCAGCCAGCCGCCCCAGGTACGAGTCGGTGCCTGAAGCAGACGAGAGACGGCGCTTAAAACAAACTACGTGCGAGACCGATTCCTCACCAGGTTACGGAACCGATAACAGCACGTCGCAGGTTGCAGTTACTCATAATGAGCATAATCTGTGCCGAGTGATGGCCCCCGTTAGAGCGTCAGCCGTGATGGGGCCGGGTTTATATCCGCGTCTCGCCGCTCACCGCCCGTATGGGCCGGGCTTCTGTAGACGGATCTGTGCCGAGTGATGCCTCCCGTTAGATCGTCAGCCATGATGGGGCCGGGTTTAGATCCGCATTTCGCCGCTCACCGCCCGTGTGGACCAGGCTTCTGTATGCGGAGTCAACTGAGCAGCCTTGCACGGGTCCCGGCCGGCCGCTGCTCTGGAACAGACACTGGCTGTCGGCGGCCGGCAGCGGCGGCATTGTCAGGCTGCCGTTGCTGTCCCGCTCCAGGTAGTACTGCAGCCAGCGGTACGACCGCGACGGCTTCGGCGACGGCTCTGGGGGCGGGGCAGTCGGACTTCAGTGGTGGTGTACAATGTCTTTACCCGAACAATCCCAGAAATGACGACTGTCTGAAACTGTTCTGGATATGAATGTCGCCTGCCGTAAATGAAGCACTCACCAGCTGCGAAGGATCCATCGACAGTTACATCCAGAAGAACGTCCCGCCCAGATACCGGCAGTGGCAACGTGCCGCTCACATTCTTGGTCCCCGCTAGCCATTCCTCCAAGGCCTGCGAAGGGTAAAATGGAAAAAGCGAGGGTATTAGTAGTGACCATAGTGAGGCACAAGCCGCTTCCATGAACGGCTCTACTCTTTGAACAAGGTTATCAACCGCAATTTTGGGTATTTAGTATGCTCGTCTCATTTTTCTGCAATGAGCATTGACAACCCCCAAAAATCAACATATTTTGTCTCTTCGTAAAAGTGTCGCTTGAAAAAGTTTTGCTGTCAATGTGGAAGAACGCCACGTTTTTGCTGTAGCTCCGGCTCAAGGGCATAGTGCTTGGCCGGACTATGGTTATCAGACCTGGCAATTTGCTCACCTCTTCGCAACGTCGGCCATTGCTCACATGGGTGTAAGCGACGCTTTACATTGAGACGAAGGTGGCTATGCCATAAAGGAGCCATGTACACATTTCAAATTTGGTTACCCCAAGGAGCAATTCTGATCAGGATTATATTAATGCTGCGGAACGCATGCATCTACCCTCCTTATGCGTGTTCGAGCCATTGGTGTTTACGATGCAGGCAACTGCCATGGCCAAGGAAGGGCGGGCACTGTGGGGAACTGAACTCCGTTTCTCTGGTTTCCCAGGCACACAGCTTAACCACCACACCTTTGTCATCCCCTGTCGAGTCAAGAACACCATTCTAATCAGTAGTTAGACTGGCTGCCTGTCGCGACCTTTGCGTGCTGGTAACACACACGTAAGTGTAAAAAGTGTATTTCTGCTAGGCCATATTTATTGGCACTGGTATGAGCCGCCAGGGTGGGTGGCAGCTCACACTCACCGCTCCCTTCCCCCACCCCCCACGGAGGGTATCTCCGTAGTTTGTTGACAGGGTAATAGATTTAGGGTGGTTGGCGCCAACACCGACACCCAACTACCGTTGTGGCGCGCTCCCGGGACATACCACGACAGGCGGTCCCGCGGTCAAGACGGTCAGCAACTAAGATCCATGCTGTGGTGTCCAACAAGAGCATCCATAAGTGATGAGTTGAAAAAATACGTTAATATAAAAAACATTCAATAAATAAATGTGAGCAGTTAGAGCTACACAGCCTGTCCTCAGCATCATACCTGTGCCAAATTCAGGTTACTTTAGTACCATTTCGCCACGATTTGGTGCGCCTTCGCGTTTTGCATAACATTTTCGGCAATCTAGTGACCGCTTACTAGTTTTGCCTTTCGTAAATGGGATAGGTAACGTATGTTTAAGGCGCCAATAAGCTCTATACACGCCTCTGGAGAGAAGACAGGAAAAAGGCTATGTCCATTTGGCGTTTGGAGCGCATTTACTCATAGCATACTTACTGCCTACCGTTCTTGACTGTCGTGCAGCGATCAAGCACGTGATCTCATCAGGACAGCATCAGACGGGCTTAGAGCAAAATTGTCTCGGAAAACTGCTGTGCTGGCCCAGAAGTCACATGACCCCTCAGCGCACGGCCATAGTACAGTGCATCGCATGAAGGCTGCTGTACCAGCGAAGGTTAGGGTTCCCTGCCGCACGTGGGCCTTGCTCACTTGACACCTGCAGTTGTCCAGCTCGGTGCAGCATGGGTTGGTCAGGGTCTGCTCCAGCGGCGGCGAGGCCGCGACCGAGGCAGGTCCAATCGGGGTCCGGTCAGAGGGTGGCGACACCAGCAGGTGGTCCAGACTGGAAACACGCCCACCATGTATATAGTGAAAGGCAGCATCATCAAGCCTGAGCACAGCGAGGTTGCAGCCTACACTGTCGTTGACATGAACGCAGAGCTCGTCATGTCGTGCTTTCGTGAAGGCCGTGACGGCCGCGCAACAGTACGGTACCCATGGACCACATGACTAGCTCCAGTTCCGATGAGACAGGTGACCTGAGGATCAGCCCCCGTCCCGTCCTGCTCCAGACGCCGGACATACCTCCGCACTTAAAAGACACTGGCCAGTATAAAGGACCTAACCTTTCTCCGCACTGCCTGGACTAAGGCTACCATTGCCGTGTCAGCGGCCGCGCACCTGTGTTTGGTTGCGTTGTTCTCAATGTCAGGCAGCCCGAGAAGAGTTTGAAACAGGCTGTACAGCTGAATGTTTTCGAAAGGATCAGCTGTGAAGTTGCGCTTGAAGGACGGTCCGTGGGCGACAAAGAAGCTCTAGAACAATCAAAGCACAAAATTAGCATAGAATTACACTTATGCTATGATGCTTACGGCATGATGTCATATTGTGTTTGAATCCAATTGTTCTATGGTACGATTATTTGCCTACGCCCCGATACAAATGATGTGCAAACGGCTGACTTAAGTACAACCGGGCTGTCTGGTAAGCCAGGCAGCGACGCAAGATGTCTACAAAACGTGACTGAGGTAGCATTCGGAGGCCTATCAGTGAAAGCAATATTATCAGCAAAAGCCTGATATATATGACAAAACAACAGGCACCACGAAACCCGTTACGCAGAACAAAATAACTCCGCGCCGGCATAGTTCACGACCATGCCACTTCTGCCACCGGTCGAAGGTACCCTCATGTCCACCAAGTCGTTGTCGTAGCCGTGCATCCCACGTATGCAGAAGTCGGAGCTGGGCACCGACATGCCGTAGCCCTGGTCGACGGTGGCAATGATGGGCTCGATGCGGCTGCTCTGCTGGTAGTGCCAGCGCTCCGGAAGCTCGTCACGGTGGAGCACGCGCAGCGCCGGGTGCGCGCAATCCAGCTGCTCTACTAGGTCGTTAACTGCCGGTAACACCGCACGAGAATGCTTAAAGTTAACATGACAGCATTGCAACGGCTACAGGGGCGGATCCAGGAGGCAACCTGGCCATTCCCCTCCCCCGCCCCTCTCCTGTGAGATGGGCCAAGCTGGCAAGGAATTAAGCTCAGGCATATTTCGTGACACAGCTATGGTGTACTCACCCCTCGCCCCACAGCATGTGACATTGGTCACAGCTCAAAGGGCGTATGCAGCAACCACAAATTTGCAGCAGTCCATGGGTATGCAGCATGAACTAGCTTTTATTACTTTTTCAACAGCAAACAAACACTGGGCTGGCTCTGAATCAGACCGGCCTAACCAACGACCGACCATCTGGCTGGCCCACCTGTCGACTGGTTATCTGGTCGGACACGGGTGACAGGTCCGTTAACGTAGGTAGAGTTCTTACTAAGTCCCGGCACATAATCATCCAGAATGACTGATTCGCAGTCTTCCCTGGAACAGAACACCCCGTGCCAATTATCGTGAGTTAATCTGGCATCCAGCGGAAAGAAGCCAAATCGTACTGAGATTCACACATACAATAAAACACAAGTTCGATTATTTATATAAGGACCGTGGCAGAAATACGCAAAAGTGTTAAGCGGCAGACATAACGACCAATACTACCGACGCATAACTGCCCCCCCCCCCCCCCCCAACGGTCCCGTTATGTTACAGCTGACTTCTACCTCTGTCCCGCCCTTGCCTGCAGGGCCGGTCCCGTGTCACCCAGTCACCTGTCACCGACCTGACCGCCGCCATGCCGTGGTCTGAGGACACCGTCACGTCCACACAGCCCAGTAAGTCGTGCTCCATCAGCTGACTGTACAGACTGGCCAGCTGGGCGTCTACGCGGTCCACCGCCGCCTTCACCTGCGGTGCAGTCAGGCCCCAGCGGGCTGGGGTCAGCATGGATGTGCCTCGCGGGACAGGGGGGGAGGGCTCCAGACGGCGTACCGCTCGGGACAGGGAGACGTACACGACTCAAGGCGGGGTAATTAAACAGGGTGTGACTCGTTCGTTCTCTCCCCATGTTCATGTTCATCTCTCCCCATGTTCGTCTCCCCATGACGTATGAGACGAAGAGCACGCAAGAGAAAATATGCATATATATATATATATATATATATATATATATATCATATGTTTCTTTCCCGTACTGAGACCTACAGCACGCGAAGAAAAAAATCAATATGCACAATCAAAATAAAAGCGCGCACTTTAGTAGTCGCTGCAATACCTACATCACTGAATCAAAATGTGAATGCACACACACATGTACCCAAAACATAACAACCAACCACTTATGCCACCTCGTTGACGTGTCGAGCGTTGTCGATGACGTGCATGAGATCAGGAAAAGAAATTGGACACCGCTGAATTCAAGATGGCCGCCATCGCTTTTTCGCCCGTGACGGGTGGTTGCCTCCACAGCCTGCATCAGTCATGGTCGCCACCAGCGCGTGGCAGCGGCGGGGCACGGGATCTGCAGCGCTATGGCCTGGCCCTTTGCCCATTAATTTATACAACTCATCGCCAAAGAGTAACATTATACTGCCTACTCCACTGACAATCACTGCATAAGACAAGAAAGCATTGATAACATACTTTGTTTGCAAGGATGACATGTTCTTACTGTTCATGTCCAAACGACCGTCGTTCGCTTTCTTTACGCAGACCACTGGTACGGTGAACAGCGTATGTGTAAAAGTCGGCCGACGGAGCGCAAAAAGAGGGGTTTCTGAGCAGAACTTCTGCTTTCAATTTTCCTCCAGCTACATTTCCCAGAAATATAAAATCGTGATGCACTCTGCTGGGATTGAAAGGTTAAATTTTTAAGTACCGCAGGTGAACGTACAACGGACAAGGGGGCAAAACCAGAGAATCTGTGAGTTACTGGCCAAAACAAGAAACTTGCGCGCTAAACTAAACGGACCAGCAGTCTGCGAAACTACCCCCCCCCCCCCCCCTCTCTCCCCCCCTCCCCGGTTTAAGCTACCGAGTGTAACACTGGCCGTACGTTGGCGTAATACGCAGCCAAAAATGCTTCGCAGCTGGTCTGCCTGAGATGGCCTAAAACGACCGAACACGACCAGGTGCTGGTGCTGGTGAGCTCGGATGCCTATGCTTAAGACATGAAAGGCAGGAGCAAACTTTGTGTCAAGTATTACACCTAATATGCATTGATTCTTCTAGCCAACCATCGCACAGAAATGAGATAAGCCAGCTCAGCGGAATTTCCGGCCGAGGACAGAAACGTTTCAAGTTGTGAGTAATGAGCACATGATTAACGCTCAAAAAGCAGCCGCTGTCACCGAATAGACGAAACGGGTAAATGGGTGGTAATTGTAAGAATTTGTGTCACATTCTAAAGGTCGGAATGGTATTCGTCCTCTTCCACTGCTCCAGGGAAACACCAGTAAATACCGAGATCAAACGTTAACAATCTTGGTGAGTGGGTCACATGATGACCGCACACATCTAGTAACTCCGGAGTTAGTGATGTGTACATTCCAAAGGCCTTAATGAGGACTGATCGAAACCAGATTTGCTTGGACGGTGGCCCCGTACGTACGGAATCGGCACGGTGGCTCAAGAGTGTATCAAGACGCGTCGTCATAGCTTTGCACGGGGTCGATGAACTTCCTAGCAAACCATCTTTAACATGCGCCCAGGTGGCCGGTTGGATACCGTTCGCTCGGGTGGGGGTCAAATTGACCCCCTAATATCTCAGAAACTAAGAGGGCTAGCGATACCAAATTCATGGGGTGTTTTGGCCTGTGCTAGAACTCACTTAGGTCAAAGTTTGTGCCTCGTAGGTTATGACCTTCGGGTCAAATAAGGTCAAAAAAGATCAAACCACAAGTTGGTCTCCAAAGCGTCTCGGGAATCTAGATACCTGTTCTAAGCAAAACGTCACATGCCCATTCAAGGTCAGTGACCTTGTTCAGCCTTTCTAAGGTCATGATGATCAAAATCATAGAAGACTGCTTTGGGTTTTTCACTTGAAAAAGCGACAAATATCAAACAAGGCAATATGTTTCTAAAATGAAATGTTGATCTGGGTTATTTAGGTCAGTGACCTATTCTGACCTATAAAAAGCACATGGAAGATTTCTAATGCCGTTCCTGTCATCAGTACATTCGAAATGAGCATCAGAATCAACCCCACCAGCAAGCCCTAGAGTAATAAAACAGGTTGGTCCTGATCTTGGTTCGACCTTATCTGACCCTAGATCAATGGAATTCGGTCATTCAATTGCTGTCTTGCCTACGAAAGTATCTCAGAGATGTATGGCTTCGTCCAACACTCCGTTGTTCCATCAGATTGAAAAATTCACTCGAAATTGACTTCGCTGAATCCATAGCCTGACTTTGATCTGCCGTAGGTCAGCGACCTTACAAGGTACATTCAATCTGTGATGCCACAAGATCCGCTATTCAATTGTCTACATCTGTGCAAAATTTGGCGCGGCTACGCCGCGTCGTTCGTATACCATTCCGGAAAACCCCTCGGGGGGTAATTTGACCCCCGCCCGAGCGCGTGCTAAGTGCAATGGCACGATCTAAGGCATTGGACATAAGGATGCGATCCCAATCGTTTAAGACAGGTGATATGAGCGATGTTTGGTTACACATTTTAGAACGACCATAACTGGTTTGGTCTTGAGCCAAAATAGCCGGGACTCTTCGCAACTTTTTCGGTCTTTAACATCTGACGCAGATTCAGCAGTATGCACATCTACTGCATATATTACGTTTCGTTCACTGGTACAGGATCTCGCCAGAACTAAGGGAATGCAGCCAACTCCAGCCGGAGAGCAGCCCGCATCGTCGCGTCAAACTAAGGGGTAATTCTACGCCGGAGGACCACAGCGAGAACACGGCCGGCAATTGCCGAGTCAAGCAATGAGTCAAATATGTCCGCCACCCTGTCAACGATTGTGTCATCCAGCAGTCTTCACGGCACCAAGGAAAGGCTCTGTCACAGACCGTCAAAGTCCACTCGTTTGTAATTAAATATGGCCGCCTCGTGACCGCGGGCGTACGTCAGCAGGTTGGCTCGTCAGCTGAGCATAGCCGGCATAGTCTTGAACAGCACTACATGGAGAACTTTCTCTGCTCCAGAAAGTTCACACACCCACTTTCAGATCTAGCACATTTCACGCTTCAACAAACCTGCATACGAAACGACCCCAATGGCTGAAGGCATCCAGTTGACTGCGAGGAGGTAAATAAAATCACTGACGCTGACGACTCTGCAGTTCGCTGGCCGTGGTGCCGCCAAGTTTGCAGTTTTCCATCGTTGGAGCGTCTGGCTCAGATGAGTCCGCCCGCTGACAGATGCAGCCCGACACCGCCAATGGACGCTGCGTCAGACGACTGACATCCGGCCCCACCCGGCCGCTGGGGCAGTACGTGCCACCGGGTCGGCGAGGGTCTGTCAGTCCCTTTGCCATATATCTCGTCCCTCGCACCCCCCCCCCCCCTCCCCCTCTCTGACCTGCTCCGAGTTCGGGCCATAGCTATGACCGCTCTTGTCCGGCTCCTCGAAGTAGAGCGACAGGTAGCGGGGTCGCTTCGGCTCCGGCAGCAGCAGCCAGTCGATGATCTGGGTCACGCGCTGCTCGTACGGCACCTTGCTGTCGTACCGCTTGTAATGCGTCGGCAGACGACCGGGCACCTCAGAGCCCGGCCAGAAGAAGACCGCCGACACAACCGCCCTGAAACGACGCCAGGAAATCAGCTCATGTTCTGGGACCGGCACAGAGGCACGGAGGCCGCTCGACGGTTGGATTAATTGCATGCTGAACGTTAGCGTCATCTTGGGCGCTGCGGCTTGGTCTCAACTCGATTTATTCCACTCTTTCCACGCACCTCCGCCGCCTCATTGTATGTCAGCCATCCAACCCCTAACAGGAATGTGTCCACGGCGAATCATGCCGAAGGTCATCCTTGACGCCCTTTTTACCAGGCATAATAGCTGCGTGCGTCGACCGCCGCACGATAGCTGCGTGCGTCGACCGCCGCATGATAGCTGCGCGCGACGACCGCCGCATTGCGCTGCCACGTGTGTCCCCAGGTCACGTGACCAGACGAGAGACTACGTTCCTGGTCACGTGACCGGGCTGCTGGCGCCGTGCCAAGCGTTGAAGCCGAGCCGAACCCAGCCTGAATGCATGCACGGAAGCGTGGCTCGGCGCTGAATGGCGCGTCTGGTCCGGATACTCCCCCTCCCATGTACAGGACGTGACTGTTGGAGCGGCTGCACTCGTTATCGGACCATGAAATGTCAGTCATCATCACCAGGACTCATCGACTTGGACTGCGAGATAAACGTTGAGACCGGCTGGCCCAGCATTTTATAAATGCATGCATCATGCAAGAATATAAATGCATGTGCATCCCTTTCAGCGCGTAGAACGCATGGTACGAATAGATATTACACATTAAACACGATATCTCAATTATTTATTGTACAGCAGTGTGAAATTGCACCGAGCGCAAAAGTAAATCAGATTTTATGTTCACAAAGTTGTGTGCAGCTGAGAGTAAACTGGAGACAACGAGAAGTGATTACGCTTCATGAAAATGTGTTGAAAAATGTTATAAAAATGGAGCATTTCGTAACAGCGAACAATGGCAGCAGGCTGCTGTGCTCCGCCAAGTCTGCGGAAGTGTGGTGCGATGAACATACCATCTTCCGCACGGTCTCCCACACCGGCTCGGCACGCCACCAGACGGGCCGCAGGCTCTCTTGCTTGCCCAGCTTGAAGCGGCGGCCAGGCAGCGCCGTGTCGTACATCCTGTTGCCGACGATGCCGTTCGACTCCGGATACATGCCCTGCGGAGGTAGCACGGCGCCGCCTTACATGGTGTGGGAGCGTGCGACTGAGGCGGGGCCTCCCGCGAACTGTTCGACTCCTTCAGCGTCGCAAACATGAGGGAGGCTGAAAACCAGCGGTAACAGCGGGCAGCAATCCGTCTGATGTGCAACCGTTGGTCCATTGTGGCCGTAGTCTACTCTTTATTCGCAGCAGTGGGGGTTTTATGTGCAGTCGCGTTCGCACGCGTGCACCTACATCCACACGCACACCTACCTTCACGCGCACATCTGAGCACGGCATTACGCAAGTCAGAGCACACCAATGAACGCCATTCACCGATGTATTCAACATCCACACCCCATCTGGCGAGGTACAGCACTGAGTTGGATACGGGAGGAGCGCAGCGTCCACCAAGCCGTTAGGGTGTCCCGGAACGTCCAGTCACTTGATTCAGCTCTGAACGCACGACCAGGAGTCGGGCCCACTGGGCCTCAAAGGACCCTCAGGGGACCCCCAGGGGATCCCCAGGGGACTACAAGCGGTCGGGTCAACTTTGAACAGGCCATGGTAGGAGCCTAGCGCCCGGATCGTCCCTCCCCGATCCTCTCACCGTGGCGATGCTGTAGTGGTTGGGGAACGTCTTGCTGGGAAATGAGGTGCGGACGTAGGGCGCCGTCACACCGCAGTCCAGCATGTCCTGCAGCATGGGCGACACGCCGAAGTGCAGGTAGTCGTACCGGAATCCGTCCAAGCGAGACGACGAGCAGTGGGCGTGGCCCGGCCGGGCACCGGTCCGGGGTGGGCGGGCAGGCGCCGGTCCGCCGCCAGCGCAGCAGCGGCCGGCGCACGGCCGGCTCCGGTGCCTTGCTGCGCCGCACACCACCCCAGATGGATCACGACTGCCAGCGCACCAGCACCAGCAGCCCCAGCAGCTGCGGGGAGCGGCAGTCAGCGGAGTATCAGCGACTGGCGAGGCCTCCACAGGGAACCTCGACCTCGAGGGGACGACAGAAGCCTCGGCGGATGAGGAAAGGCAGGTGGAACGGCGTCAGGGGAGGAGGGAAGCAGGGTAACGGACGTCATAGGACCGGCGCGACTGATGCCGGCGCGGAGAGTCTGGCGGGACAGGCAACAACTGCGGACACCAGGGATTGAAGGCGAAGGCAGCTCGCATCTCAGAATTGGGAGGAATTTAGGCAAACCAAAGACGGAACCATGCATAACTTGAATGGGCTTGTGCCCCTTGTTTAATACTTTAACATGTGGCCTATGAGAGCAACGATATTCCATGCAAAGTGTTACTTATAATCAACTCATTCCTCCACATCACGCAACTGCCATTAACAGCGTCGCTCCTGACGCAGGCCAAGCATTATCGACTGCGGGAGAACAGACACCGGTAACAGGGGCTGACGAGAGCAAGCAATGTCCGAGTACAGTCAGGGATCTGTTTGACGGGATGTCTAGCCAACTGGATGTGAGCAATGGTGTACTGATCACCATAAACTGGCGCTTCACGCTTACAGCATTAACCGCGTCTACGCAAGTGGATCGTTAACAGCGTCTTCCAATCTGTTCGGACACCAAGGATTGTCGGTAAATGCATTTTAGCATGGAGAGTAAGGCGAGTTTGCTTTAATATCCCTGGCGTGGATACCACAATGAACTGGTTGCCCACATGCTGCTATCAATGAGCACACGCCTATGCATTCCAGATCTTCACAGCGTTCTTCAAGAAGGTGACTTTACTGAGCATGAGTAACCTCACTGTCGCAGTCCTCCTCCACATACCAGCTTGTATGGGTTTGCTGGTTCTGCTGCACTAGGTGTGGCGCAGAAGTGGCCGTTTTTGTGTGCCAATATGTAATACAAAAGTTACCTCTCAAAACAGGGATTCTAATTATAGACTTTGGGAGGTGATGGATTTTGTTTACCCTTACTTTGAAGAGGGATTAGGCAGGTTTAATTGCAGCTGTATTACCCAGATATGTGGTACATCAAGCACCACTCGCCACCAAATGTTTAGAAATGCTATGTTTTTAGAGAAGAGCGCACGGTTGGAATAACAAAAGCGAACCACTCAACACGCCTGAAACTTATTCCTTACCAGAAACGTCAGGTTTCGTAAGAGCCTTCGCCGCCGTCGAGCTTTGCTTCCGTGGAGTAGGTTCCCGCCTGCTGTCTCTGAAGCTGGCTCAGACACGGCCAGAGATTGACGCGACTCCGTCATCTGCGCGGCAGTGACGTGTGATGAGGCAAGGCACCCGCTGCAGCTTAACAGTAGCGTGTGGTGAGGCAAGACACCCGCTGCAGCTTAACAGTAGCGTGTGGTGAGGCAAGACACCCGCTGCAGCTTAACAGTGGCGTGTGGTGAGGCAAGACACCCGCTGCAGCTTAACAGTAGCGTATGGTGAGGCGGGACATCAGCTGCAGCTTAGCAGTAGCGTGTGGTGAGGCAAGACACCCGCTGCAGCTTAGCAGTAGCGTGTGGTGAGGCAAGACACCCGCTGCAGCTTAACAGTAGCGTGTGGTGAGGCAAGACACCCGCTGCAGCTTAACAGTAACGTGTAGTGAGGCGGGACATCAGCTGCAGCTTAGCAGTAGCGTGTGGTGAGGCAAGGCACCCGCTGCAGCTTAACAGTAGCGTGTGGTGAGGCAAGACACCCGCTGCAGCTTAACAGTAGCGTGTGGTGAGGCAAGACACCCGCTGCAGCTTAACAGTGGCGTGTGGTGAGGCAAGACACCCGCTGCAGCTTAACAGTAGCGTATGGTGAGGCAAGACACCCGCTGCAGCTTAACAGTAGCGTGTGGTGAGGCGGGACATCAGCTGCAGCTTAGCAGTAGCATGTGGTGAGGCGGGACATCAGCTGCAGCTTAGCAGTAGCGTGTGGTGAGGCAAGACACCCGCTGCAGCTTAGCAGTAGCGTGTGGCGAGGCGGGACATCAGCTGCAGCTTAGCAGTAGCGTGTGGTGAGGCGGGACATCAGCTGCAGCTTAGCAGTAGCGTGTGGTGAGGCAAGACACCCGCTGCAGCTTGGCAGTAGCGTGTGGTGAGGCGGGACATCAGCTGCAGCTTAGCAGTAGCGTGTGGTGAGGCAAGACACCCGCTGCAGCTTAGCAGTAGCGTGTGGTGAGGCGGGACATCAGCTGCAGCTCAGCAGTAACGTGTGGTGAGGTGGGACACCAGCTGGAGGGTGGGGTTGGGGGTGGGGGTGAGGGTCGGGGGGGGGGGGTAGCAAGTAACCTATTCCCTCCTCATGCTTTGATGTGGCAAGAATCCCTTTTTGCTGCTCCATGATTTCAGAGAGTCTAGAAGGGACCCTCAGATGTTTGGAAGTAACTCGCTCATTGTGTTACCAAAGTCCGCGCAGAGGGCCCGCCCGGTTCTGGAAAGCGTGCATCTTAGGCTCAGAAAAGAAACGTCTAGAATCCGGAGAAGGCGCATCTTAGATTGAAAAGGGTCCATTTCAAGACAATAAAACGCCTGTCAGTTTCCGGCAAAAGGGGGTCCACTTCTGTTTTGAGACATCCCCATCGCAGACTCGGAAGGGAGCATCGCAGACTCGGAAGGGAGCATCATCGCAGACTCGGAAGGGACCGTCTCGGATCAGGAAAGGCTGATCGCAAAACTCAGAGAGGGCCACCCTCAAGGTTGGAAAGAGTACATCACCGGCCTGAAAAGACCCCATCTAGGTGCGTAAAAAGTTCGTCACAGGCTCTGAAAGTGGCCCGTTTTGTCTGGAAAAGCTCCATCCAAACCGAGAGAGGGATCTTATCCGTTCAGTTCAGGGCTCATCCTAGACCAAGAAAGTGAGCATTTCAGGAAGGAAAAAATTCGATCGACTCATCTCTTAAGCCCGGGAATACCTTATCTCAGATCCGAAAGGTCCCACCTGTCTTGAAAAAAGGCTTCTCTGATTATACGATGTACCACTTTCAGACATGCGAGAACCGAGGACCAATTCTTAATATGCGAGTGATCAGCGATTTTGGATTAATTGTTATGACGTTCCAGGATCCCCAGCTCCGGAAGCCTTCTCTGCCGCGCGAGATGCCGGTGCCAGCGTGAAGCGCACGGTGGTACCTTCTGCAGCAGCCGTCATTCCCGTAAAATGAAATGTTGCGTGCCACAACAGGTGTACCCAGTGCCCCCCACTAAAGCACCTCCAGCACACCTGCGGTCTCATATTAGCTTGAGTCTGTCTCCGGGAGACATGTGGTGGAACTGCTGCCGCTCCAGCAGTTGGTGCTCCCGCAGAGAGCATGCCCGGCGGAGCGGGCGTTACCACGGCTTGAGCGGCCAGCGTCGTCCGCCGAGACTCACCGTGGCTCGCGACTGGAGCCCGTTCACTTGACCGTGCCGGCCCGCTCGCCTGCCGTCCTGGCTGCGCCAGCGATCTGACCGTGCGGCACAGTGTTGCTCTGGGAGAGCGCAGCTGCCCGCGACGGCACCTCTTCTCAGCCAATGATCCACGCCTGACGGAGTCGGCCTGCGTACGGGAGCTCGAACTTCCCCGGTCCGCACGCCAGGCCAGACTAATCGGCAGCTTGGCCAGGCAACACTAATCGGCAGCTTGGTCACGAATGAAGCACATTGGTAGCTGCGGCGCGAGTGGCGCTGAGACTGTGGGAGGTCAGGGTGCCAACGGCGGCGGAGACTGGGAGGTCAGGGTGCCAACGGCGGCGGAGACTGGGAGGTCGGATGCCAACGGCGGCGCAGACTGTGGGAGGTCAGGGTGAAAACGGCGGGGGAGACTGGGAGGTCAGGGTGCAAACGGCGCCGCAGACTTCGCGGGATACACGAGTGAGCGCGGCCAGGTGCAGTCAGCTGAATCGCTATTGAGCTTGAGTGGGGAGCGAAAAATTTAACCACAAAAAGGCCGCAAAGGAGTGAAAAGTTAAATTCACAGTAGCTGGAGCTTATGAGTCAGTGAGAATGCCCTGGCTTACAAGGACATACATATTAATTTGACATGGCATCAACCTTACAAGCATGACAAAAATGTTGTTGTTGTCTCACATCTTCGGTCATTGCACTAAAACATAAGACATAAAAGAAAATGTATCTCGTAATAGTGAGATGAGCACCAAAAGCTTTGTAACACAAATGTGTTGATGCTATGTTTTGCACTTCCTTCCACAGGATTTTTTTTAAAACATAAAACACGCTCTTGAATCATATTATGTTCCTTTCCTTTTCGCTTTAAAGATCCATCCAACGCTCCTCCATTGAACCAGTTCAGTTCCCGACAGAAGACAGCCCTGTTCACTCATTCATTGTCATTAAAGATCCTGATATTCCGGGCGCGGATATAACGAAGCCAGTGACCTGTTCCTGACAACCGCAACAAGCTACGGGTTCAGCGGCTTGCGATCACGTCTGACCGGCTGTCCGACTAATCGTTCTATTACATTCGTATAGTGTTGTTGGACGTAAACAGGTCACCTGTGAATTGGTTCCATATCACATAGGATGAGTGGAGCCAAGCACTTCTGGTGCATCGCCTGATCCCAAATGCACGTCCGTCCAGGCATCTGTCAGTGGCCTATACTGAAATTGTACTCTGCGCCTATGTGGCGTGTGCAAATAGGGCAGTGTGGCATCAAGTAAATACGTTCGATATTGTCTGGTAATAAATCGTGGTGTGCACTGCAACATTCAATGCTGGTGATTCGTGCATTCCTTTTAATCATACGTTTAAAGTACTTTACTCGGCACGTAGGCCAGGTGGTGGGCGATTGCCGCCCCGT